GAAGAGGAGGGGCCCAATTCCAAACAGAGCTCCTAAAAGTGAGGTCTTGGGAGTGGGTCTGAAATTGGGATAGATATTTGCTGATCTTGCATAGGTCCAACGAATCAAGGCAGGATCTTCCTAAAATGAATGAAAACAAAAGATACAGGAAATTAAGTTCTACACTAAGAAACAATCTCATCAGGACTTTTGTGGAGAAGCACAAGAGATGCCCTTTGTTCTCTTCTACAGTTAAGGGTATACCCCGAATATTCCTAAATAGCTTCAAAGAAGATCTTTCATTTCCAGTATTTGTTGAATAATTCTCTGATGATCCTGTTCAGAATTTAAAAGACTCATATCATCCTTCAGCTTCCTATTTATTTAAGATTTAAGAATCCTGATCATTTTAAGCTGTCAGAGAAGGCACTTTTTTTTAAATCATTTTTTTCTATTCTTTTCTGGATTGTTTTTGGCGTCACGGTCTTTCTTGAAGTATGACAAACAGAACCACACAGTATTTCCAATGAGGACAAACAGATTTCATATGCTCTATCATACTGTGAACTTTGTTTCCAGTACCTTTTCTAATGCTATGCCCACACTGGTCTTTCCAGGCTACAAATAAACTGCAGGAAGAGGAAGACAGAAGTAGGCTAACTCTGAACTTTACATTTTTTAAGCTGACTTGGCTGGTATTTTAAGAACAAAATTATTACATTTCACATTATTAAAATAGTTTTTTGAAAGGACAAAGTTGTTAAAGAAAAATAATCAGATTGTCTTGGTTAAGAAAAAAGTAACTGTCAATTTTAATATATTTATACTAGAATAACTATGTAAAAATAGCAAATCTACCCCAAATACGTAATTAAATTTAATTAGCTAAATACCCTAATGATTTTACAAAATTATTTGCTCCAGTTAACTGATAGATAAAAATAAGCAAATGAAATCAGCTTTAAAACTTTAATACTAAGCTGTGAGGAGAACATTCAAGGTTTTAACCAACGCCAGGAAGTCATGATTGGTAGGACATAAATAATTAAACTGGATCTTTCACAGTAACATTTTAAATCAAACTGTTTGTCAAACTCTTTGCAGAGACAGTAAAGAAGGTGAAGACACAAGATACAGGTTCAAGGGGACATTTGAGCTCTATACCTGAATGGATAAATACATCTATCTATTCTTGTATCTATCCCTTCCTGCTATTAATGCATTTGAATGACTCTCTCATGCCAGAATTCTCTACCAGTCACCTCTCTACACCTAATATCTGCCAGATCTGTCTTCCAGAAACAGATATTTCATTTCATAAAAATACCAACAGCTCCATGACCATAGTTCATTGAACTAGGTACTGTTGTTGAAAGAGGTTCCAAAACACCTGCCGTGGGAGACAGTGCTCCTTCCTTGACACCACTCCACATCCAAAGGACTATCAGCAGCATGTGATATGGTGAACACCACTTTTTTTTAAAAATTTATTTATTTTATTTTTTTATTTTTGGCTGCGCTGGGTCTTTGTTGCTGCGCGCGGCACGGGCTTTCTCTAGTTGCGGCGAGCGGGGGCCACTCTTGGTTGCAGTGTGTGGGCTTCTCATTGTGGTGGTTTCTCTTGTTGCAGAGCATGGGCTCTAGGCGCGTGGGCCTCAGTAGTTATGGCGCATGGGCTCAGTAGTTTTGGTGCACGGGCTTAGTTGCTCCGCGGCATGTGGGATCTTCCCAGACCAGGGCTCAAACCTGTGTCCCCTGCGTTGGCAGGCAGGTTCTCAACCACTGCGCCACCAGCGAAGCTTATGAACACCACTTCTTGAAATCATTTCTTCACTTGGCTTCAAGGGCACACACCAGCTTGGCTTTCCTCCTAACTCTTTGGCCATTCCCTCTTAGTCTCTTTCGCTCTCTTCCTCCTTATCTCCCCAGTCTCTTAATATAGGACCTCAGACCTTGTGGGTCTTTCCTATCTACATTCACTCCCTTGATAATCTCTAGTCACATGGTTTTAAATATCCACCTATAGGCTGATGACTCCCCAAAACTATGCCTCCAGCCCTAGACCTGTACCCTGAACTGCAGACATAATATCCCACTCCCTGCTCAATGCTGACATATTGTCTAATTGGCAAATGTGATGCCAAACATGATGTATCCCAAACTGATTTGCCAATATGCCATTCCACCTTCATCCCTGATCCTTTCACACTCTTCCCTATCTTGGTAAAAGGCAACTTCATTCTTCACTTCAGTCAAAAACCTTGGAGTTATCCTTGAGTCCTCTCTTTCTCTTACACCACATATCCAATCTGCCAGCTAACCTGATTGGCTCTACTTTCAATACATAACCAGAATGGACCACTTCTTACCAACTCCACTGTCACCAACCTTGTAGCCACCATCAACTAAGAAATTAGATTACTGCAAAAGGCTCCTAACTAGTCTCCCTGCTCCTGCTTTTGCTCCCCCATAGTCTCTTTTCTACTAAGCAGCCAGAGTTGTTGTTAAAATGTAAGTCCTGGGCTTCCCTGGTGGCGCAGTGATTGAGAGTCTGCCTGCCGATGCAGGGGACACGGGTTCATGCCCCAGTCTGGGAAGATCCCACATGCTGCGGAGCAGCTGGGCCCGTGAGCCATGGCCGCTGAGCCTGTGCGTCCGGAGCCCGTGCTCCACAACGGGAGAGGCCACAACAGTGAGAGGCCCGCGTATCGCAAAAAAAAAAAAAATGTAAGTCCTAATTATGGGACACCCGACTCAGAAAAGTTCTTTCAATGGCCTATGAGGCTTGGTGTGATCTAGTCCCAGGTAACTTTCCCATCTCATCTCTTCCTACTCTGCCCTCACCTTTCTCCATGTTAGACACAATGGTCTTTTCAGTATTTTGGGAATTAACCAGGCACACTCCTGTCGAAGGACCCTCGTATTTGCTGTCCCCTCTGACTAAAATGCTACTTTCCCAGAGAGCTGAATGGCTAGCTCCCTCCCCTCACTTCTCTGAGATCTTCAATGTCACCTTCCAAGTGAGGCCTTTCCCTGTGCCTTTCTAAAACTGCAGCTGCTTTCCCTCTCTACTACATACACACACTCCTAATCCCCTTCCTTGCTTTATTTTTCTTCTTATCACTTCCCATTACTTAACATACTAAATGATTTAATTTTTTAACTTATTACTTGTCTTCCCTCTGGAAAGAAAGCTTTATGAGGACAGGAGTCTTTGCCTGTTTTGTTCTCCACTGTTACTGCAGTATCTAAAAGAGGACCCTGAGCAATTATTTATTCACTAAATCAATCATTCTTAGACATTAGGCAAAGAATTTCCATGTATTGCTCAATATATAATTGTCAGGCCCTCATTTACTTAACAGAACAACCAGTGAGGCTGGTGTAAAACCTGTTTTACACAGCAAAACTATAACTGCCCTGGGTCACAGAACTGGAAAAAAGAAAATCTGGAGTTTAAACCTCAGCTCTGTCTGACTCAAAGTCTCTCTCTCTCTCTTTTTTTTTTTTTTTTACTACATCTTACTATCTAGCACATCAAACCCAATCGTGTGAGTATGTATACAATCAATGTCTCTGTCCTCACCTTCTCCCAAGTAAATGAGGTTCTGGCTGAAGACAATATAGCCAAATGGTTAAGAGATGCTTTGGGTTATACAGACTACGGTTCAAATTCTGCTCTATCACTTGCTAACGTATATCTCTCTATGACATACTTGTCCTTCCCATGTAGTCTTTCTCATCTGTAAAATGGGGATAGTAATAGAGCTTAACTCTTTGAATAGCTGTGATATTTGAATATCATTCAGGAAGAGTTTCAATAGTGCCTGGCACACTGTAAGTTTCTTTCAATTCTCACAACTTCCTAACATTCCTACGGAACACCAATGCAACTGTTGAGAAAAGTCTTTTTTCTTTTTTAATCTAAAAGCACACTTCTTAAATAATAATAGCTATCAGTTTACTGTGCATGTATTATGTGCCGGGAATGTTACACAGACTATCTCATTTAACCTCACAACGATTCTATAAAGAATGTACTACCATTTCCATATATGAAAATTAGAAAACTAACGTTCAGAAGGCTTAGGGATATTGCACAAAGTCATATAGTTTGCTAGTACATAGCGCCTTGGCGTTTGACTCCAAAGCCCAAAGCTTCAGCAAGCTGTAGGGTGTTTGGGTCTTTAAAAGATATAAACCGAAAAATCACTATATTCCCTTCAGACGAGAGCAGTATTGCTATAAATGTGAACTGAAAAGTGGAAAACATCTTTAAAAAAAATACACACACACACACACCCCCATATTTCCTGAACACTCATCACACGCCAGGCACTGTGCTGGCCGGTCACGTGCCTTATCTCATTTAATCCTCCTAACAGCCTCATAAGATAGCAAGTACTATATTATCCCCATTTTTCAGACAGGAAAAACCGAGGCTAAGCAACAGAGTTGAACAACTTTTTCAAAATCACTCAGGCGGGAAGTGATCAAGCCAAGACTCAAACCCAGCATGGTGTGAATCCAGAACCCGTCCTCTAGACCACCGAGCTCTCTACCCAAGGTCAAAGGGCTAATGAACTGGCCTGCTCTCTGGGCCTGGAAGAGGATCCGTGTCTAAAATACTCTTCGGGAACGGTGACCGCTCCGCGGCGTGATTCCCCTTGTCAGGTCTGAGCTGCCCAGCCCGACGGGACCGTCCCGACTCTGGCCCCTCGATTCCCACCCGCTGGCCCCTCACTCACGATGACCCCATGACGGCTGGGGTCGTTGTACTGAAGCAGGTACTCCCGTTTAAGCCGGGATCTTATGGCCAAACGCTCGGCTTGTGCCTTCCGAGTTTCCGGAGATATGTCGTATTCAGCTGGGTTGAGGGTAGTGGGCAGGGTCGCCAGGCGCGACGTCTTGGGCTCGGGGAACGACATCTTGGCGCCCCGGCGCACAACTGCGCCTGCGCGGTCCGAGGCCCGCCCTCTTCAGTCTGACCTTCGTCCTGAGGCAGTGCGCCTGCGCGTTAGCCAGAGGTTGAAGATGGAGTTTAGTAAGAAGTTCAGCCTCTTTCCTCAACCTTCCTCACGGTCCTGGCCCCCTAGTGGCGACCTGCGCAGGCTCAAGGTACTTTCCTCGCCTTCCCCCACACCCCTCCTTCCCCTACCCCCCTCCAAATCTAACGCTTGTTGCTCCTTCCTAGCAGCCTTATCCCTACTGAAATACAGAGCTTATTATGTGAAGTTGAGCTGGCAGAGACTGAAAATGGGATTGACTGTGGAATTCTGATTCAGTGTGGGTTCATCTCTGCGACTTGCGACATGTCACTTAACTTCTCGGAGTTTCCTCTTCCTTATCCCGGAGATAATGACCCCTATTCTATCCACGTAGCAAAACTGTTGTGAGGATTAAAATAAATAATTAATAGATGCCAACATACTTTGCAAGGCACAATTTCTCTTCCAAGAAAAAGAAAATTAGCTTTTCTGTGCGTTACCATATTAGATCCATACAACATAAGCAGAAGAGTATTTTTCATTGGCATGAAATAATGTTTAATAGGAGAATGATGTTAGAAGTGTTCCCTGCCTGACTATAGGTCAGAAAAAAATGGTATTGTATAAACCTCGCAAAGAAACAATATCTTAGTTAAAATACTAAAACCTCTTATGTAAAATCCCTAGCACTCTTCAGGTGCTAAGAATAAAAAACATCCTTAGAGATATGAAAATAAGCATAAGGGCACTGTGTCTTGCTGTGAAAGATAATTTTGGGAAACAAGGAGTGTAACCTAAAAGGAAACCTTCTCCACCTCTACTGTCCTTCTCCTTTCCCCACTATCACCACAGAAAAAGGGCAACTTCAAATTGTATGACAGGGTCTTTGGGTACCAGTCAGACGCTCCTTAGGGGAAAACATGTAAACAGTATTTCCATAACTCAGACAGGGAATGCTGGATCAGCTTGGGTGAAGCGTCTGGGGACATGTAGGTATGTTGGGAAATGGTTACTAGGCAGAGAAGGGACCTAGAAAGTGTTGGCGCTTGAAGTGATGAGGAGCAGCACTAGCTACTGTCAAATTTACTCAACATTTTAATACTGTTTTAAAATATTTATTAAGCACTTGCCGCATGAAGCACACTGCACACTAGTCAGTCAATCTTCCAGGCTCAGTGGGGGAAACAACAGAAGAAATGAAGGACAAGATGTTTGTCTCTGAGAAGCTGACAGGCAGTACAGAAAGAACAGACAGAATATGATAATATTTGCAAAGCAGTTTAATGATCAAATGAATATAGTAGCAAAGTGGGCTCAGGGGAATGCAGGCTGAGGGAATATAGAAAAAAGAAACTTGAGACAAATCACTCACACTCCATTTTAAAGGAGTGGGGGGGAAAAATTTCTGTTTTTTTCTGAGGTGTTTAAACATATTAAGAAAATAAAATGAAAAGCAGGAGCAAGTTGAAAATTCTAAAGACTACTTTGATAGTTTCAAAAACCTTTTGTTAATAGATTAGACACTGATCAAGGAAGAAGGGCATGTTAAAAAAGAAAAGAAAAGAAAAAAGAAAGGAGTACATTGAGTACAAGCCAACCGACAAAGTTAAAAAAAAAAGGACTAAGTTTAAGAGAGGGAGAGAGAGAGAGACAGAGAGAAGAAACTTCATCATTTCGTTTTGGATGAGTTAAGGGGATTATCTCCACATTTGCTTTTTTTTTTTAATGAGGTCATTTATTTATTTATTTATTTATTTTTGGCCACGTTGAGTCTTTGTTGCTGTGCACGAAGGTTTTTGTCTGGTTTCGCGGCGAGTGGGGTCTACTCTTTGTTGTGGTGCGTTGGCTTCTCACTGTGGTGGCTTCTCTTGTTGCAGAGCGTGGGGTCTAGGCACGCGGGCCTCAGTAGTTGTGGCACGTGGGCTCAGTAGTTGTGGCACGTGGGCTCAGTAGTTGTGGCTCATGGGCTCTAGAGCACAGGCTCAGTAGTTGTGGCTCGCGGGCTTAGTTGCTCCACGGCACATGGGATCTTCCCTGACCACGGCTCGAACCCATGTCCCCTGCGTTGGCATGTGGACTCTTAACCACTGCGCCACCAGGGAAGTTCCTGCACATTTGCTTAATTATCATAAGGATCCCTTCAGATAACTGTTAAAAATATGAAGTCCTAGGTTTTGTTCTGCTCTTGTAGATTCAGAACTGGTCTTCAGGGAAACCCAGGAGTCAGTATTTTTTACAATTTCTTGAAGGGACTCTTACGATATTGCATGTTTGGGGAACATAGAGATGAATATAAGAGGTCTTCCTTTTCCCAGAAAAGGCCATCTTAGAATGAATCTATTTAAGATGGAGACCTAGATTCTATAGTGAAAGAAAAAGACTTGATTGGGACTTTAGCTTGAAACGGTGCAACCGATAAATTATGAAAATGAATTTATCTTGTATTTAATACATTTTAGGTCACAATTACAACTGTGTGCTAATTCTGATAAATCAGGTGTTAATTTGTGGGGACATTATTTTTATGTAGCTCATTATGCTTCACTGCATTTGATTTTTTGCAGCAGGGTTATATTTGCAAAAGTGCTGGAGGGCTTTGTCCTTTGAAACCAGATTATTTCCTTCTGAAGCGCTGATGTTATCATCATTCTTATTCATTTTTCTCTTTTTCATTTGTTACCTGGTCCAGCTGTAAGATCCTCCTGTATTAGTAACTTTGCATGTGGATCTAGCAGTTCACCAACATCACTTTCATCAATTTCATGAAATTCCACATCTTTTGCAAGATTTGCAATAGATTTCTATTGCATTCGAGAACTGGTTATTTCCAAATGGATGACCAAGACTTTGATGGGGTGAATGTAGGCACTAGGGTTAGCAGATGGAATAATTTCAGTGAGCAGCAGTTTCACAGGTGGTCATATCATCAATGTATATTTCATGTTTTGAAGATTTTTACTTCTCTAAGAAATCTCCTAATAGAATTTATGAGAATTTATTGGATTACAGGGACTAAATACATGTATCTGTACTTGGTCGGAAGAGGGGGGATGAAGTGGTGAAGTGTAGAAGGAGAGAAGTGCATATATGCAGGGGTGGTTAAGCTATATAAATGGGGCAGGGTTTCAGGGAACAGAAGACGGACAGGTGAATACAGAAACTGTAAGAAGCAGATAAGTTCCAGCTTGCAACAATATGAAGAACATTCCTTCTCTTAATTGAGTAGGATCATATGTATATTTGGGAATAAACTCTTCACTTTGGGTTGAAAATAAACCCAATGCCCAGAGATTTAATTAATCAGTGATTAACAGCATTTGACATTTAGTGAGTATTCTCTATTACTATTATTTTTTAAAATCTTGTCCTAACATTGAATGTTAGCAAAGAATATACTCTCAAGCTAACGAAAGGTCCCCTCTTTACAGGAGCCCTCTCCACTACCCTGGTAAGGACCCTAAAAATGTGTTCGCATGGTCATTCTGTTTTTGTAAAATTAGAAAATGTAAGCTATTTGAATCACAATTGCCTAAGACTGCTGTGTCTCTCCTCTCTGACTTCCCCCTTCTATCACATTTTTCTCCTGTTGGGTGGTATTGCGGTGGCCTTAGATATTTGGGGGATCTTACCAACAAAAGTTGGGGTTTAGTAAGATATATTATTTGATTCACATCTATGCCAGATGGAGTTAAGTTATTGCTAGCCATCCAGGTACAGGATGGCTTCCAGGGATACTGCCATCACCTAGTGTGCCATGAAGGTTCAGGATCAGAGTTTGTATTGTGATATAAACTTGTCCTGTGAAGCCTGGCCCTGGAAATAATGAGGGTAGAGGAAGAGAACAAGGTTTGAAATAAACAGAACTAGAAGCTAATTTGTAGAATGTTCTTCTAGTCATCATTGAATCTTTTTTTCTCAAAGATTTTTTTCTCCCCTCCTTCTCCCCCAAATTATATAAACTTCAAATCCCATCAAACCTGGATCTTCCTGTTTGTCAGTCTTGTTAAGGCTGCAAGGAAGAGACTCAGAGTGCCTCGTGAATTAATTTATTTGCAAGGAGATCCAGGAACATGGGGGTAGCAAGGAAAGTCATCTCTTGTTTCGCATAGCTACCCTGGGAACTTGTCTTCCAAAACTGAAACGAACAGCAGTTCCAAGGGAGAATAAGAAAAATACTCCAGAGTTTTCAGAGTCTCACCTAAGCTCACGGATCCCACTTTCCCTTTGTTTATTACCTAGTGTTAACTCTTCCTTTAAAAAAGGATATTATTGAGTCAGTTTGACACTATTCAATTTAGAATGCCCCAAAGCACTACATGGGAGGTTGGCTTTCATTGTATCCAACTCATCTGTGGCTCTTTGACTTGGGCACTGTCCAAATTAGTCATGTAGTCAAGATTACACAACTGTTTTTCTGTATCCCTAACAGATACACCTAGGTCAAAGAAGCTTATGGTATTTGGAAAAGACTCACATAGAACTACTATCTTCAGAAGCAGATTGTATCCAGAAGACACTTTGAGACTACACAGCCTCTTACAAACATACATCACTTTCTACTTGTTTCTACCATAGCTTTTTAATAAGTCTTGATATTTCATGGGGCAAATCTCTCCATTTTATTATAGTTCACAATTGTCTTAGCAACTTTTTTTTCCTTTTCTCTTTCAGAAGAATTTTAGTATTAAGCTATCAAGTTCCATGAAAAAAAATAATCCATTGGGATTTTTATTGGAATTGCACTAAAGTTATAGCTTGACCTGAGAACAAACATCCTTATAATATTGTATCTTCCCATTCATTAGTTAGGTCTTTTATTTCCTTCAATCATGTTTTGTAACTTTCTCTATAAAGAATTCTGGCCTCTTCTTTTAGATTAACTCCTGCTACATTATAGATTTCATTGCTATTGTTAATTGTTTATTTTTCCTATTATATTTTCTAAATGGTTATTGCTGGTATATGGTAATATTATTGATGTGATGTTGGTATGCTAATCTTGGAACCAGTACCTTTATTGAACTTTTTACCAGTCCTATTAGCTTTTCTATATATTCTTTTCAATTGTTCTGTGTAGTCAGTCATATCTTGTGAAAATAGCAGTCTTGCCTTTTCTGTTCCAAGTTTTAT